CATGTGCTTGCAGGAGAATATCACTGCATGGCTGCTTAGAGAATGTGTGCATACTAGTGACTGTAATGGTGCAAGCAAGCATGAATGTGCTGCATGACTCTGTGCATGTGCTGGTGTGCTCCTGAGAGCGTTTGCCAGAACAAGTCAGTGCAGCCCTCCGAGAAGCGCTAAGAGGGTCTGAGAACTATTGATTCTCTCTGACAGACAGGTGAGAGTGAACGAGGGAAGGGCAAAAACAGAGGAGAAACATCAGTGGGGTACCGAGGTTGGGGAGTGCGATGCCAGAAAGGGAGGAGGTATTAATTGAGCAACTGTATCATTATAAAGTGGGTTGGATATATATATATATATAAAGACAAGGGATGGACAGAAGAAAAGGAAGGTGGAACAGTACTGCCAAATGGGCTCAGTCAAATGTTTGTTTGATTTGTGGGAGAGTAAAGATGACATTAATGGAACACATTTTCACTGCACCCACTCTCCATCTGTCTCCTCTTTTGCAGGATCTTTTACCATCCCTCCCTTCATCTCTCAAGCCAAAAACCCACTTCTTCTTCTGCACAAGGTCACCAAGTGTGAGGGAGCAACCATGGGTCACACACTGTAGATTGCTGAGACTCTGGAAATCACCCTGAGAAGTGAATGATGAGAGAGAAAGGGAGTGGGGAGATTAAATGTGAGAAAGAAATAGGCAATGATGGGAAAGGGCCATGGAAATAAATAAGAACTGAAGAGGAAGAGTTGTATGAAGGAGGGGGGAGGATAGAAGTAGGGGAAGAAAAAAGGGGTGAGGAAGGTGGGAAAGCAAGGTGAAGATCACCACTAACAACTGAAATCGTATGCTGCCGGGTCTCACCTGATTCACATTAAGAGAATTCCTGCAGAGAGCAGCAGGGGGATTCTTTAAAAATAGCAGGAATAGGATTTTTAACAGTGGATTCTTGGAGGCTTTTTTTTTCCCTAACCGAGGTCTCTATACTGGAATACTGCACCAGGATTGAATGAGTCACACTGGATTGTTCAGCTCTTCAACATCTATAGAAGCCTAAGAGGATATTAAAGGGATTGGAATTTTTTGCCTAATTCCCCCTACTTTTTCCTTGGACAACGACCTACATCTGCCTCTTATTGATGTGCGTGTGTGGACTGGACTAGTGGAGGTTTCAGCAGAAAACACGCAACCCTCCCTCCTGCTGGTCAAACACAAGGAGAAACACCTGGGGATAATTCTGCACTAAACACTGTGAAATACACACACATAACACACACCCACACACACACGAAGCCGGATAACATGTGGAGCTGATTTGGATTAAAGAGCCACAGACGGACAAGGTATTGTCAGTGCAGTATCAGACACACACATACACACACACACACACATGCATGCATCTATGACGACACAGTGTGTCACAGGTCATCTTTGGGGACTGATTTATTTGACTGGAGACCAACACTAATTCAAGCTCAGCCTTAAGCGTGCGACTCCCTCTGGTGACGGATTTAGCTGAATGACACTGGTTTGGTGTCTCCCTGAAGGTAACCTGGGACAGTGACACAAACTTGATTCACCATTATTGGTCCAATAAAGGTGAATTCATGTTTGCATGTTGTCTCTCTGGTGCTGAATCACACAGCCAATCACTGCAGTGCTCTCTGATTGGACTGGGATGTCAGTGTTCTCCCACACACACACACACTCGGGCCTATAAATAATGAACAGATGTGCATTCATAACAGCAAAAACATAGGTGGCAAATGTCAGGATACACACACACAAAATCTCCCACGTGGTGCCAAGGAGAAGTGGCTCTTTTCTTATCCTTTTATCCTAAGCTTTTGACGCCATAGTCTACTGCTCCACAGAGCTGAGAAGCCACATCTCTCTCCTGCCCTGTAGGTGCATACAGTTGACAATCAGCCAGAGCTGTCCTGAATCAGATTTCCCAGTAGGTGCATCACAGCTTGCCTTTCACTGCCTTACCTTTATGTAATCTCACCAGGCACATCGTGTGTGACCTATTGTAAGATTGTAGGAATGCTGTGAGTGTTTGTGTGGCGTTGTGAACAGCACAGTTTCACCTGCTCCTCATCTGAGGCCTTTCAGATAAGCACAGATACAGACCCACAAACAGAAGTGTTTATAGCATCATGACACACAGAAATCAGACAGAGCGGATGTATAAGAGGATAAGAGAGCGATGACAAGAACAAGAATGGAGAGTAAGAGAGAATGTACAAGGATGTAGGGAGGAGGGGTAAGAAATGGTGACACATCACACAGTGATGGGTACTCAGAGCAAACAGAGGTCAAATGAATATATTGCCATCAGGTTAGGAAGCATCAGAGACAGTGCTGTATGTCATCAAGACAATGAGGTTGTGACGGCTGAATAGAGGGATTAGCCAAAGAACTTACATGAATCAAGTGTTATTAACAAAAACTGTGAGTGCAATGTGCTTCAAAACGAGTAATCAAAATATACCAAATATTAAATATACATGTGATAAACACAGATTTTCACAAGGTCCACAGTGAAAAAGAACAGACTGAGGTCCAGTTTGGGTGGAAAAATCAGCGTTGATGTATTATACGGAGATAAAAACAGAGACGGATAAGGAAGGAATAATTAATAAGACAGATGGCCATCATTATATCACATTATATAGTGATACCATACAGTATGCTGCAATTAATCTCATATGACCCCAAAAAGTCAGTTGGAGATCATCGACTTGAGTCGTGAAATATTCAGCGGTATCATGGATGTGATGTAATGTGTGAAGTAACTGTGATGCAATAATGACGCAGATGATCAGGCACACCTGTAGAGAAGAATTTAGAATCTAGTCCTGGACAAACACCAACTCCACTGAAAACCGTGCCGACATTGGCAGAAAATGGCAGCTCAACACGGATTTAAACTCTTCTTTTATAAACAATAAGCGCTGATATAAGCAGAGACATTTCCAATACCTGCTCTGCTGAATGTTTACAGTGGTTTTAGCTCTGCCCGAGAGCAGCAGCAGCAGCAGCAGAATGCTTATTCTGCAGAGATGTCTGAACCTATTTGAGGTCTAACAAAGAAGTATTTTGATATCCATTAGTGGAATAATGTTCATATAATTGGCTTCTCTTTTTCTCCTGCCAATAATAGTCAAAAGAATACAGAATAAGGGAAGTGTCAGCTGACTGGAGTGCTGAAATAAAAATACAGGATCATTCTCTAAATTATCTGGGTGGTAATTTCCATATTAAACCCTTGCAAAAGTCTACTGGATGAGAGATGTTCAATACTCTGGGTTCAGATTAATAGCATTACAGGAACGAATTGTTCCAGCAACAGGATAAAAAGACAAGCAATCGTACCGACTGATTGCTATAGTCATTTATCTACACAGGTGCTTAGCCCCTCCCCATCACAAATACATCTTCTTACATTGAATCTTTTAAACAAAGTATCTAAAAATCTAAATGTTATTCCTTTGTTATTGTTATTTCTTAATTTTCATTTTAATGGGCCTCTGTAACAGGAGTTTATTTTCTACTACAACAAACGTAGTTAATAATGCAATGACAATGCTGACCTATAAAATTAAACTGGGTTACTTTATTTCTGCTCTGTAGCAGACAAAGCAAAGAGTTAATCACCTATACATTCCATAACTTTCACAACGTCCCTGGTACATGACAAGTCTAAACATCATTGACCTTTATTAGAAGCCTTCATATAGCCAGTTTACACACGAGCGGGTCCTCATTACGGTAGCTAACCTATGTCTGTATAGGGGTGGACTGATGGATGAGGTGTTCAAGTTCATGTACGTGTAGGACATCAGTTTAATTTCATGAAGCAGATGGAGACAGACACATAACATGACAGCAGAGATGATGAAGAATGATAACTGTAGGACCCCCACACACCTACAGTATGTGCAGAGGCTGAATTTGTGCCTTATTTTGGATCCCTGTAAATAAAAACAGGGAAGCATACAGTTTAAATTGCTGTAGTTATTATTACAGCTGGAAGGGACACCAAGCTGGCTATGTTGGTTTTACTATAACCAATGTTCTGTGATGATGGGTCCTGGGGATAACAATTTTGTTAGAAAGTGAGCTAAGGAGCTAAGGAAAGAAGTGGAAGGTTTGAAACACACCAACAAGGGAGACATAGTCCATGTCAGAAATGTGGCACTTGATGGAAATGGATGGAATGGTGGAATGGTGATTGATGGTGGAGGGAGAGAAGTAACGGCTGGAGTGTTAGAGAAGACAGAAGGGATCAAAGGATGAGACATCAGTCCCCTGTCAACAGAAGAATGAAGTGGTAGCTGATGGACAAAGTGCTACAGAAGGAGAGTGCGATGATGAAGAGAAGTAATTGCAGGACTGACTCCTTTAGATAGGGAGAAAGACTCAAGGGTGGGAGAAGAGAGACTGAGTAATGAAGAATAAAAAGGCGTGCGATGACACTTGAGAGGTGGATGACAAGAGCGGAAGGTGGATATGTTAATAAAGGAAGATATATATATATATATATATAAATAAATATAAACTTTTATATATATATATACAGATATATATAAATAAAGTCAAAAGTGAAAGAACAATGCCGGAGAGAGGAAGCACTCAGAGGGCAAACAAATACACGGAGTGCAGACAGATATAAAGGCAACAGACGGAACCCTCAGGGTGTTAAAGTAACACTGAGGAAACACACTTCAGCTATAGATGGACTCCAGACTGTGTGCAGGTTACAGAAAAACATGAATGAATATATAGGGAAATTATGGATTTTGGATATATATATATAAATATGTGTGTGTGTAAAATTCAGGGTATAATACCTGGAAAATTGTGATCTAATGAAAATAAATGTTAGCATTAAAGTGACAGCACATATGAGTTGACATTGTGTGATTGACAGCTCGGAGGGTGAAAATGGTGCCCGGCAGCAGGCCACGTCTGTACCAAAGAACTCAAAGTTGTGGCTTTATTTTGCATGCGCATGGCTTCTTCTCATAAAAGTCGATATTAATAATGGCCTTGGAAGGCTGCATGGTTGCAAATGGAAACATGACATATTAATTTATAGGTTAGATTCCATAGCAGCAGGGGATACAATAAAAGGATAACATCATTTAGAGGATGAAGAGATGTTGGATGATGAGAAATGAAAGAACATTTTCACATAGATGAATGACCACACAACAACCACCGAAGGCAAAGTAGAGGAGTTAAGAAAGGAAGAAAAACGAGACGATGAGTAATTAAAGTGCTGACAGTCTGTTTAGGCACAGCGGGCGCACTCTGAGGCGAACAAACTGTCACCACAGCAACCACTGGGGACAGACGCAGGGACGGTTCTGGGGAGGGAGATACAGGGGGAGAGAAATGGGGAGGAACAAAATGTGAAAGAGCATGTGTGAGGTGGCTGGGGAGATTAGAGGAGGCTACAGTGTCACGAGAGGGAAATGAGGGATGAAAGGGCACAAGGATGAAAAAATACCAGGAGGAGAAAAGGTGATTGATGCAGATTTAAGAAATACTGAGAACAAAATTACACAGGTTTAAATTAGGAAGTTGGAAACGTAATTAAAAAGATAATTCCATTCTCTGTAACACCGATTTAATCTTTTAAGCTAAATCCATCCAAGCAATTGTTTTCCACAAATTAGTTTTCAAATGTTTCTGTCTACCTTCCTCCAGAGATAGATGGTAAAAGTCATCTATTTCCAAGGAAACCAGTGATAACAGAGAAGATACATTATTACAAAACTTCCTGGCCAGGTCACTCCTGGTGTATCTAACCCATACGTCATAGCAGATCTCACTACGGTCTTATAAAGCATTCGTTTAAACTCTGCTGCTGTTCTTGTCTCCTAAAGGACATATTCATGCTGTGAGACTAGTTTCATACAGTCCTATACAAACCCTCCTTTTTTGACATGTTTACTTCAAACGTAGTTCTTCCCAACTCTACTGCCTCTGGAACTGCTCGTCTCTGACACCATGATCCGATTTCTAGCGTAGTATCCATCTAATCTGATTTAAGACCAGTAAATTAGAAACCATGTTATTTAGTTGGACCTTGACATCAGACAGGACTCCTGACCCACACCTCATGTTTGTCCGTTTGTTAACGCCACAGCGTCAACTACCGGCCTCAAACACATCACGTCTCCAAACTCAGAGGTGGGTCTCTATTACAACAATCCTCTAAAGATGTAGGTTGTACATGCTAAAGTGAATCACGGTGCAGAGTACAGCGTGGGTGATGACTGTCAGAAGAATACCAGCTTGTACTTAGTCGATGATGCTTATAGTCTGTGTC